GATGGGGTTGCCTGTGGTAGCAGGTGACTGGAGAGGATGATCCAGGAGGTCCCTTCTAACCTTATGCTCCTAACAGGAATTTGGCAGGCATTGGGCTGTAACAGCATTAAGACATCATGGTAATAGGTGCAGAATAAACACCCTAGATATATTGATAGGCCCAATCCTGATCCTGTCTGCATCCATCACATGGTGTTGGCAATAGGGCCATACTACTGGCAATCTCAATGGGTTTAAAGAATCCTATGCTCCCTCATCACTTAATTTGAGTGTTGGAGAACAGGTGTGGCTGCCTCCACATAGGCAGCATTTGTAAGACCTCCGCCCTAGCTGCTGTATATGGCACCTGGAACCCTGGGGCATATCAGGGAAGGACTGGTGAGAAGGTTACTGCTAAGATGAATAACTGAGGAAACTAAATGGGCTACAAAGTGAGCTTCCATCTGCCAGTTTCAAGATGTTTCTGTGTGCGAGATACTAACTAAAGATGGGACCACCTGTACTGAAGAAAGACCTGGCCCCACCCTAGTACAGTCAGAGCCCCCAGTAATCCTCCTAGGAACAGGCAAATGTCATATGTGAACTACAAGAATACAAGGACCCTGATACAGTCTTGTCTCCCCCTTGTGCCTGTGTTGAATAGCATGGTGCTTACTCCTTAGGGTTCCAGTAACCTCTATGGTCTCCGCAGGTGTTTGAAAGCTGGTGAAGATGCATAAAAGACCACTTGGGGGGTAGGAGCTCACACAGATCACATTCCTGGTCCACCACACCAGACAGCTCCATGCCAGGTGCCTGTGGATTAGGTTCAGATCGCCTCCCCAGCAGACTTAAATGGCCTTGGGATTGATTGGTCTGATGCAAGGTTGGGTTATGCAGCATTAAGGGGTTATCTCACCCCTTACTGGCATACCATAGGGCCAATGGTTTGACCCTTGTCATGTACTGAGGAACTATAGTCCACCTGTGAGCTATGGCATAGCTTCAGAGGAGTTGCACACAGCATCAGATGGTGTGGCTGGGAAAACTTACCAAAGTGACCTTGTACACAAAGAAGAAACCTCTGATCTCAAATCAGCTACTGACTTCCTGGAGAGAGTTCAGTCCCAGGTTAGCATGCATTGAAGATCATCTCATCTTTACAGCCCGCAGTATGGAACCGGTTAATGGTGAGTCTGTCGAGGTATTCAGATCAGTTCAGAAGATGGAAAATTAAAAGCCCAGCTAGGATACTGCCCCTGAAGACTTAATCCTGTGAGCTGCTGAGTGTCCCCAGCTCCAGTACTTCTGAGGATTGGGCCCAGAGAGACCATCTATTAGGAAGAGGAATCCCAGAATATGAAAAAGCCCAGAATAAAAATCTCTATGGGTTGTTCAGCCTTATGGTATAATAAAGCTCAGTTATTGGATTTTATTCAGAAGGTCTATTACCAGGTAAAGGGCATTTTTAAAAGTGACCCGTGTGAGTTCAGTAAAGCATTTACGTATGTGCTTAATTTTAAGCACTTGCTTAAGTTCCACTGAAGTAAATGGAACTTAGGCATGTGTTTAAGCATTTTGCTGAATGGGGATGGACTGCTGACCCAGGAGAAACTGGTGAGAGCAGAGTAGAAGCATTTTTAAAACCACAAGGTAGTGATATTTTTAAAGGCATTTGTTATTTTTTCCCTAAGTCCTTATCTTGTTTATAATTCTGAGGTACACTCAATTCCTTTCCCAAGGCTAAATAGCCCTGAAGTACCACAGGTTGTGTTAGCATTGAATTGAAACAAAGCAAAACACAAAACCAAGTTTGACGGTAGTCAGCTTAAATAAGTAAATAGTTATTAGCCTCTTTGTTTCTTTGTGTTTCGTTTCTGGATTATTCCGGTAAACCTGGATCTTTGGAGTCTGCTCCAACGCACACTGAAGCTGATGGGCATCCTTCTAATGGCTTCAATGGACTTTAGATAAGCCTTATATAGACAGAGGATGACAACATTTAATTATACAGCCTTCTCATTTAGCAAAATGGATATTAACTATTGAAACACTGGTCCATAACCCCCCCCCCCCACATAGTATGATTCATTGTAATTACACAAATCATTCCAGAACAGTCAATACTCACTCAGAATTGGCACCTCAGTCCAAGTTAAATGGTCTTCTGTCTGAATTTCCCTCACTATAATAAAATTAGTAGAAAGACTGAACAGATTTCTATTTCCAGCTTTATGAATCTCATTTTTATAAATTGTCTTTTCGTTCCTACTCGATTTTTTGGAAGGTGTTTCACACAAAAGGTCAAATGTATGTAAAATAGTTTTCAAATACTACTATGCTATAGATGCCATTTTTAAAAGATGACTGTCATCCCAAACCAGAATAACCTTGTGGTTACCATTTAAACCTTTGCTTATCCATAGAGCCAGTTGCAGTCTGGAGTCTGCACGTTACTCAGTTTGCTGCTATTCCCCTCCCTCCTTTTGAATTTCCCATCTCTTCATGGCCCTTTTGCATTGCTAATTATTTTCTGCCAGCCAAAATCTCTTTCTCTAAGCAAGTAGAACAAATACATTGTTTTTCTAAAGAAAGTAAAGCTAAACACGTTGTATGCAATTCCTTATTTCAGGTAATGACGTTCTCATGGGTATGTTGGAACATATTAGGACAAAAGCCACTTTGGCCTCAATCCATTTCTCACTGAAGTCGATAGAGAGACTCTCATTGACTTTAATGGGAGTTTGATAGGGCCCATTAGGTTAAATTCACCCCAGGTATAGTGGACCAGCACATTGTCTACACACCACTCGGGTCCCACTTAACTCTAAATTCTACCCTTTGACAAAATTTATCCAGAAGCTTAATTGCTACTTAAGCAAAACTAGAATTCTACCTTGTACCATAATTTCTTTGTAATGTGAATTAAAATAAGTGGTATCTCTTGCAAGACCTATTTCCCTTTCCCATACTCAAAGCAGAGGGCTACGGCAGGTTCCAAGTTATGTATATATTGTAGCAGCATGTGATACACAATTGTAAATCTCAGATTAAAAAGCAGAGTGTGATTTGTCATCTATGACTAAAATATATAGATACATAGATACACAATGTGTTCTGAAAAATGACAGAAAAACTGTTCTTTTCATGTTACCCCAATGCAAATGTGACTGCATTTTGTTGTTGAGTATCTACTGTTCTGAGATACATATTGTGGCCAAGCAACTGAAATTGATACCCATGTTTAATCATTGTAAATAAAAGAAGCAGATAGACCTGCATGTTTTCAGAGTTTGCATGCTCAATACAGAACTAGTAGGTTTAAAAATCTCACTGAACATTCTATGTGAATTAAGAAGATTTTAGAATAATGTGAAAATGAAAATAAAGTACAGCTTTTCACTTAAACATATGCAACTCTCTTCATGCAGAATTTTGTTTTAGTTTTTTTTTAAGTTACACTTTGCATTAAAGAACATAACCAGTGTAAATACAATCTGTAACACTTATAAAACAGTGCAAACGTTGTAAATTTCATTTTTTTTAAATACATGTATTTATAATGGAGGTAAAATCACCTTCTTTCTCAATAGAAAAATATTTATATTAAATACCTACATATGTTGAACTTAACTTTACAAAAGACTAAGTTATAGTTCCACATTTGTAATAAATTACTATCATTTCTAGTTTCCACATTTACTGTTAGTGTCAAATGCATGTATGTCTAGAAAAACAAAATAAACTTGTATTGAGAACAGAATGAAAATATTACAGTTCATAACTAGTGTGAAGGGGTGCAAGAGAAAGTTGATAAATATTGTGAGAGAAGCAATGAAAAAATACAGAACTTTATGAATTATTGCACATTTGAGTTCATTCTTATGACCTTTGGGCAAATACTTAATTCTTTTGATCTTAAGTTGGTATTCATTTTAATTTTACTGCACTTATGATTTAAAAAACATTTACAAAATGTGAGAATTTACTATACCTTGATTACTGATTGAACCACAGGCAGCTATGTGCAGAGTGCAAACTTCAACTTATGCAATCAAAAAGCAGCAAGACTAAAAATAAGATATTAAAATGTGGGACACATTGTCTTCCAGAAACATATTTCTGGATTTGACCCTGCAGCCCTTACAGAGGCAAAACACTAAAGTCAATGGGAATTTTGCCTTGCTAAGAACTGCAGAATTGGTTCCTGCCTCTGTTATTCAGAACTTTTTCTTCAAACGCTGTTGTCTCCATTGGCCCAATTCTATAACCCTTAATCATGCGATTAGTCCTTACAAATCCTAATGGTTTCCAAGAGACTCCTCGATTAAATAATTAATGATACTTAGGACTTGGAGAATGATTGTTATCCCTAGAGCTCAGAATGCTTACCAAGAAGGAGAAGTAGCATTATTCTCATGTGACACATAAACTACTCACATGAGTAAGAGATGCATGAACTGACCGTAAGAGCTGCTTAGGCAACCCAATCTACATAATGTATCGCTAGAAGCACTGAGAAAAGAAATACTTGTGCTTGAGCCATAGTAAAAGATATATAAATTAACAGGTAGATATAGAGACAGCATATTCTCTCTTTCATAACTACATTTCAGATGATTATCACTGCAATTGAAGTCATATTAGTAGTAAACCTGAATAATTTAGCTCTTAATCTCTGAATATTGCTGTATTAATTTTCTATTGCTAGTATTCTCAGTAACATGTACATTTTAAATTGCAACTGTTTCAATTTTGGAAAAAAATATGTAAAATTACATGGCCATTAGTACAAATCTTACAACACGTCAGGAGAGTTTAAGAAATCATGATTTTGTTAACAGACAATGAAGTTTGTACTTGAAATGTTTAAAAAATGGCATTTAAAACTGTAACATTTGTGAAATCTAATAAACCACAGAAAAGTTGTTTGGAATCATCCTAAACATCTGACAATATGCTAATAATTTGTTAATAAAAACACACAGCTAACCATCGACTAGGAATAAGATATGCCTCAATAACAAAATGAATGGATGCTGATATGAGCAGTTGATTTATTCTGCAGTTACTGTGCACTTTATTGATAAACTAGTAACTCTTCATCCACATTGGTGTATCAACCGGTCCTCTTCTAAAATGTACTTGTGACAACCTTATGGGAAGTGCTGCCTACGGTTTTCTTTTGAGAATGGTTCACCCAGTGTGCTCTACAAAGACATATTTTCTTTTATAGCATGTTAAGTTTAGAATTTGCAATCTGTACTAAAGTTTATATTTTCTTTTTTTTAAATTCTGTGTAAATAGATGAAATCCCATTACATAAAGATGGGTGTCGGAGATCATATACAGTATTGAACTTCCATCCATACCAGACTGTAAAACATATATGTTAAAATCAAAGGATATATTTCCCCCTTCAAAGAATCAATACAACTGTACATTAAATGATATGAGCTACATATTGAACTACAAAAGAAGGTCCCCTTTGTCAATAATTTGGAAATGTAAACTAAAAATTCAGGTACAAAAGTGAGTAAATGTGTCTCTGCCTCCAATCTGATTCGGCACCCCGTGGCATTGATTTAATGTTCTTTAAAAATCTGTCTTCATGGTGCTCAGAAAGCATCTCAAAAGAGTTCTCATCTTCACTACCAAATATCACTTGTGAAGCTAAGTTCCTGGGATGATAAAGGTAGCAATGGGTTGTTCCTGTGAAATTCTTGGGTGTCCTTCATGGTATTATTAAGAGGTAGCTGTCCATTTAGTAGTGTCAAGGGTATGTTACAATAGGTGTGGTGATTACTTATGGAAGCTATTGGCATGGTTGCTGCTGACATGTCATACTCGTATCCTCTGCAATAATGTCTCATTTGCATGGAATCCGTTTGATGGTAATCGGCTAAATCTGCTTGAGATGCTACAAAAGTGGCAGAGGCGCCTGTCATAGCAAGAGACGGTACAGTTTGGAGGTCTCCAAAAAGTCCCTGTTCTGCAGAGTCCAGCACTTGGCGCCGAGATAAAACCTCTTTTTTCTTCGCTGGCATTTCATAGACTAAGCGCTTCCAAAACTTAGAATTCAGTTTGCTGCTTTTTGGTCCTTTCCACTTGACCACTGAGAGAAGTTTGATGGTGTGCTTTAAAGATTCCACTTCGTGGTAATTCACTTTGCCTTTTAAGTCAGTACACTCAATCAAAATAACTTTGATTTCTCCACTGACTAGCATGTTATGGAGTCTGTTTTCCATCTCAAAAATACTCCATCCTCTCCTGAGAACATAGTCTGGAGTTAACACGATAATGAGTCTTCTGCTTTGCTCAACACATCTTGTGAGATCTTCAATGTATGCTACAAATTATAGAAAGAGAGAGAGAATAAAATAAAGAAGTCTATTGTGTTAAAACATTAGCCTTGCAATTAAGTATACTAAAATACTAAGGTTCACTAAGGGTCTGATCCCACACCATTTAATGGAGCTTTACAATAAAAATATGATTGGACATTAATAGACACCATCTCTCTATTTACATAAAACTTAGAAAAGGAAAAAGTCTAGCTCCTAATGGTTTCCCCATATTAATCATAGTATAGCTAAGATTGATTTAACTTCCTCACTGTTCAGCTGCATTTCAGTGACTTACAAATGATAATATTTGTTTTTCATTTACGGAAAAGTTTTAGCTCTAGATCAGTGTAACTTTTGTGTAAAGTATAAAATTCACAACACATGCTATGGCCATTACTAACATTTCTTGGGTTGCAAGCTAAGGTACAGTAATCAGTTCTTATGCTTCGAGGTGTAAAGAATGGAAGGACACGAGGATGCTTCAGGGTGCATGGATTGTAGCTAACCGGAGCTCGGGAAGGAACCCTCCATCACCACATGTACAAATTATGTTATTGGAAAGGTACAGCATGGGCAGCTTTTACCGTTTTGTACACACATTGACCACAATCTTGGAGGTCCAATGATATCAATCTTGGAGGCCCAATGATCTGTTTTAATATTGCAAATCTATGCTTCTACGTACACAAGATAATTAACAGAATCGTCATTAGATGATAGGGGGAAAAAAACTCAACAAATGGAAAACATAAGCAAAGATAGAATTACTCAGAGGCGTTTATTTTCTGAGGTACCATTGACAAGGAAAATATATTTAATTTAATTTATCTCCTAGAACTGGAAGGGACCTTGAAAGGTCATCGAGTCCAGTCCCCTGCCTTCACTAGCAGGACCAAGTACTGATTTTGCCCCAGATCCCTAAGTGGCCCCCTCAAGGATTGAACTCACAGTCCTGGGTTTAGCAGGCCAATGCTCAAACCACTGAGCTATCCCTCCCCCCATATAGTCTACCGTATTTATGCATGCTAACATTTGCAAGGTATTGGTGTAAGCAGAGATGCTGTACACCATCTTCCCATTTCACAAGGTCAATTTATCAGCCCAGAATATATTCTGGGGGTTGAATCTTAGTTTGTGTGTTTGATAAGCCTGACAAAGGAGAATGGGGGGGAGAGAGGCCAATGAAAGTAATCTGACATGGACCTCTTTATATCTATTTACAGAAGTCCTGACCCCAAACCATTCAAAGCCATGGAAACGCTTTCAGTGGGTGTTGGATCAGGCCCAGAAAAATAATAAACAGCGATAAAGGTAGTGAGAACAGAAAAAAATGTGTTTTGGTTGCATATCATTTTGCTGGTAACACTTTTTATTACACAAACTGTCCTTCGCAGCTATGCTACTCAAAAGCATGCAGTCTGAGAAAGGAGGGATGGCATGTGTTACAAATGAAGACTTAGACACAAGAGCTGCACACAACAGGCCTTTACTCAGCATAGGGCAGGATCTCTCTTACACATACTGACCTCTAGCAGGACGAATGGTTACAGTACACTTCATTGATCAACATCTTTTACTGTAATACTTATTTTTATAGTCCCAGGCAAAATGCCGCGGCATGCTTATTGACACCACTTCCCACCAAATAGATAGCTACAAAATAGGCCAACAAACATTCAAAAATATCTTCATTTCAGGAGACTCAGGGTATATTTAGCATAAAATCTGCCTTTACCAGCGTTTTATTTCACCACTTAGCAGCAAGAAAAAAATTATTTCACATATGAAAAAAGCAAATTTTTATACACCCCATAGACAAACAAAAATTTCAAGACATACACATACAGTACAAATGTTTATGCAACAACCTTTTTAGTTAAAGTGTTATGATCGTTTACTCATGCAGCATATACAGTTTGATTTTTTTTCTTAAATTGATATTTTCTAAGGAAAAAACATTGCTCTCTCTCTCTAAAATGTTTACTTATTGAAGTGAAAATTCAGCATTAAAATCAGGGTGAAAATCAGCAGCAATAGGAAAGCTATCAGCAGAACTGGTGAAACAAAACTGAAGGAAAGGTAGAAATGTTCAATACAATGGAAAGAGATTATCCCAATGTATCAACAGCTCAGACTCTTCATTTTCTTCCTTTCTTTCTGCTCCCAAAAAGAAAGAAGTTAGGTGGGAAGCTTCATCATTAGAGGTTGGATCTGCAAGATACAGTAAAACAACAAACCATCATGCATCTTTCCTGATACATTTTCATTCCTCCTTCAAGAAATTCAGACTACGGGTGTGTACAAGAGCATTTTTATTGCATAGGACACAATATTGTTCAGTCACTATCAGAAAGTCCCACATATTCAGTTTAATACTATGCATAGCTATGAGGTATGCATGTCTGTTACAAATCACACAAATTTTTTTAAAAAATCAATCCATTGCACTTATCTTTTTAAAGAAATTGTGGTGATATTTTTAATTGCAACAATAAAGCTAATATTATATCAATTCAATTGAAAACTCACCAGACTTAGCTCTTACATCCTCTATAGCTGAAGAGGCGCTCTGGGGGAAAAAAGACACCCTGGCTTCCCCCTGTGAGCTCTTCACCCCTCTGTGTTTCTCCTTTATTTTGCTGTGTGCAGTTTAATTGGTGGACATTTAGAGCTCTTTCTACAGCCGACTAGAATTAGCCCTTACAAGGTTACCTTCAGAGTCCTTTCTCAAACCTCAAGTCTGCAGCTGGGTCACAAATAGACCTGACCAGTGAACAAGGGATCCTTTGGGGCAGTGAGGATGGAGTTGAGAATAGTGGCTTGCACACAACTAGACACACCCTTCTATGCATCCCAAAGGAAAGGCAAGCAGGTCTTGAAACTGCTCGGCCTATAAATACACAATCATTCCAATATCTTCACAGCAGTACGCCAAGTTCCAGCCTGTGACTCCCTGAGTCTGTACCAGCCAGATTCCTGCATGAGTTCAGGGAGTCTTGGAGCTGCACTAACTTATGTCACGTGGCTATGGTCCTAAGGGGCTTTATACCAGTGGAGAATCAGCACAGCCCCACCCTTGAATACACCATGTGGGGCTAGGGTAGGTGGCTGGTACAGGAGCTGGCTGTACTGGTGTCACACCACTAGGAAAGTCTCTTCTTCCAGGAGAATTTTGTGCTGTCAAGTTATGGCCAGAATCCAGTTCCCTTGTGGTGGTGGACAGAGGCTGGGGCCTAACACAAGATCTGATCACCACATTTATTTTTTATAGGGGAACGTTGCCTTGTGATTTGGAAAACGTGCACTAAAACAAAGCCAACATTGTTGCCCTCTCTGTAATGTCCCTGCTTGTGGTGAAACAGGCAGGCTGATATTCTCTTGCAACAGGCGCAGAATATTCTGCTGTTGCTCTTATGCCATCTGTGAAACAGAGCGCTGAGAAAGCATTTCAGATGTGAAACTTAAGTAGGGGAAATCTCCTCTGCCAATTTTACCACCAGTTGGAAAGAAAAAAATAATCACCAAGTTCTGCAAATTTCATAAGCAACGTAGAACTACTTCAGTGCAATTGTATTTCTTGGAGTGGCATAACTAATCTTCAGCTGGTAGGAATGAGCGTAGCTGCATTGACTTCAACAGCTCAATGCTGATTTGCACCAGTTGAGGATCTGGCCAGAAATGAGAGGGACTGGGAGTGGAAGTTGTGAGGTTCAAAGGGGAAAGTCTGCTTCCTGTCTCGATCAAGATAATTTGCTTTTGATCAGCAGCATTTTGTGACCATAAAGATTCTCAAAGGGCAGTGAAGTAGCATGGCCACTGACAAAAAAACAAAAACTAAAAAACAACAACAAACCCCCCAATCAAACCAAACAAAATAAAATGGAAGGAGAAATGTTCAACATTGATCAAAATAGGCAAAAGGCATCTTTTACGTTTTATTTATGAGTTTGATTCAGGCAACATGTGGTCCATTTTGTCTCCTGTTTTGGCTGGTGGGTACTGTACTGTAGAAGAGGATGAGAAAGTGAACAAAGAACCCAAACCCTACAAAATTCAAGAGGCACAGCAATTTTTCTGTTAGTGGGGGTATAAGCTAGTTAAAGAAGGTGATAAGAAAACACATTAGCCTCTGGTTTGCAGAATCGGGACTCCCCTTTGTAGCAAAAGAAAAGAGCAAGAAGTAACACAGAAAAGGGTAGTGGGAGCACCAAGTCTCACCATGCAAGCTGTGTAATTTCCCATCTAGCATTTGTGAGTCAGACTTGACTGGGAGCTGACACAGAGAAGCAAAGAAGTAAAGAGGAACACAATGGACGGTCAATACAGTAGCACTATAATGCCTGTATTATGTATTCTGAATGTAGCGTTATTACATAAAGATTTTTTTTAGGATCTCACATCAGACACTAAAGGAAATCGTAAAGTTCAAATACCAAAGCCATCTACTGCCTTATGCAGCACATATCGCAATGAATGTATTTATTAGTTCCAGTTTATAAAATCGCCTTTGCTAATAGGTGCTAGAACAAAAATAAGATAAAACAAGACAAGCCGGAGGGGAAATCCCCCATTATGTTAAACCTTCCTTCTTAACCTGTAGCTCTCAGTTTGTTATTGTCCAGCTGAGTTGGTTTCAATGAACTGGTTCCCTTTTGTCACCCTACCTGTAAATAAAGTGAATAAAAAGCAAACATCCTCCCTGGCACATGGCCAGAGTTATACCAGGGAGGAATAGGCCCCCAGATCATTTGGGTTTGGAAGCCCTATTCCTAATAGTTATCTTCAGAAAACTTGTATGGCTAGCCTGTATGTTAGGCCTGGACAAGAATATGGGGAAAGCAAGGGGCCTGCCAACTCCCTCCCCTCTTTTGCAGTGGTCAAGCAAAGCCCCTGGAAAAAGGACCTGGAAATTAACAGGGCAATAACATCTACAGGTGGAAGGGTAGGGCGAGAGCAGAGACATATTCTCTCCCTTCACTTGGGCTAAATAGTAGAGATGGAGCAGTCAGATTAAATCATTTACCCAAGGTCACAAAGGAAGATTGGCAGAGCCAGCTATAGTTCAGTGCCTAAGCCCCCAAACTATCCACTCTCTACAGTCTGGGCCCGCTAGCTACCAATGTGCTTTATTGCAGTGTTCTGGATGAAATGGCACCCGCTCATCCTGGTTTTGGCATCTCAAGGGATTTTATCCAACTGTTAGGAGGATAAGTGTGAGTTGGGTTGGCGTGTTACTATAGCCCTTGATCTCTTGTTCAATTTGTGTCAAATTGTGTCAAACTGTGTTGTAACTATACACTATAGTGTAATTACACAGACTGATGTGGACACATATCTACTACGAACTGAACCAACAAATTAATTTGCACTGCACGTAGAGCGGGGCCTGAGCTGTGAAGTTTGGATCCACACTCTGGATTTGGATATGAACTACCCCAGCATTTGAGGGTGTCAGTATTCAGGGTTCCAATCCAGCCTGTCACAGAAGTAAGACCAGGGTTATGATACAGACCAAGGCTTTTCCATAGTTTCGGTAGGGAATGGGGAGAGAAAGGGATTGAAGTATCCGGTCCAGGCTCACCTCAAACTGTAACCAATCCAGGACCCCAGAAGTGAAAGCTGAATTTCTTCTTCCTCTGTGACAATTATAATTCCATCAACATCAGTATCCTCTTTGCAATATATAGTGACCAATGTTAAATATCCCCTACTTCTGAATAATGCAATGGCTGAAAGGTTCTTCTGTGTCATCTCCTCTATTCTTCAGCTTCATCAAATTATGATGAACTTGGAGTCCCCCTGGGCAAGCTGATTACCCAGCAACAAGATTTACAGGAAGTTTTCTAGGTCATAGAACTTACCCCACTAAACACTCAGGTCCAAACCCTGAGGTCCTCGTTCAGTTACTAAGCCATTTGTCAGGCAATGACTGTATTCTGAGTAAGGATTGAGTAAAACACTGAGCAAGAACTTCGGGATTTCATGCTTTTATTGCATCCATATAACAGCTAGAGCTGGTGGAACATTTTCCACCAGAACATTTTTCCATTAGAAAATGGCATTTCATGAAAATCACAACTGTCCACAGAATAGGGATGTAAGAGTTTAACCGGTTAACCGATAAGCTTGATGCTTATCGGTTTCTGTTAATGGTTAAACTCCACCCAGGGTCCCGGCTGCCACCCTGAGCGTGGGGTCCCTCTGGGCTGCCGGCCCCATGTGTGGGGCTCTGCTGCTGCCCGGCATCCCTCTGCGCCTGGCATCCCGGCATGCCTGGGGTCCTGACCATGCCCAGAGCCAGATGCTTCAGAGGGAATGAACAGAACAGGGCAATTATTGAGTGATCCATCCTCTGTCCAGTTCCCGTTTCTGGAAGTCAGAGGTTTAGGGATACCCAGTTAGTTTATTGAAATAGACTTACAAATAGGTCTTCTTGCTTTTTGGGCTCCCAACATAAGCAGACTCCATTACACCTCCTCCCTCCCCGTGTTTCTCTCAGGAAGGCAGAGATCATTCATATTTTGCTATGATATTATTTTTATTCACGCATCACATAACACAGAAGGCAGAGACTGCTGTAAGCAGCGATCTGCCTTTGTCTGGTCTGGCCTCTGCAAGCCAGATTCCCACTTTCCAAAATGGAAGATGCCTTTTGATCTGTGCTGCCGGAACCCACTTGACAACGACAGCTGCCGCACATGCTCCCCCCGTATGGCCCCTCCTGTTCCCAGCACTCCCCATAACTCAAGAGCGGGAGCTCAAGTGCAGGGCTTGAATATGGTGCAGACGTACCAGCAGGAAGTTCCCTCTCAAACAGGGGAATTCTCTGCTGGGTATCTGAGGCTAGGTTATGGCCCATTCACTCCCCCCGAGTAGCTTGCCCATCTGGCTCTATATCTTGCATATAAAGACAGTATCATAGAAATGTAGACCTGGAAGGGACCTTGAGAGGTCACCTAGTCCACCCCCCTTTGCTGAGGCAGGAACAAGTATACCTAGACCATCACTGACAGGTGTTTGTCCATTCTGTTCTTAAAGACCTCCACCTAGAGAGACTATTATATTTTTTTTCCAGCGGCTAAGCTAAGAATCAACTTGATTAAACCACAATCAAACTTGCCCTTTGATTTTACTGAGGTAAGCTTTTGAGTTTGTTCAAAAATGCCCTGAGACAAAATAAACCATCAAATACTATTTAACAAATCTATACTTGGATACTTCCCAGTCCAGAGAGCAACTGTATGCATTGCCTCATGCCGGGAAGTCAGAGCAATAATGGACACCCTCCTGTGGCAGCAGTTTACAATTGCAGAGATTATCTGAAACCAGCCTTCCAAAGGATTCACGATTGACTATAGTATTGGAATCTTATCATCTTAAATGCACAAGAAAATTTATACGAAGAAACACCCCAGATCATCTGGTGGGAAAGTGCTGCGTTATACTGAGTGTCATCAGATGACAAAATACAGTACATGAAAGCATTTCGCTAGAAAAATAAATCAGTTTTTCCCCCTGAAGGAATCTGCACCTAAGAACCAGATAGTCCGACAGAACTGTTGCTTTTGAGAGATTCGTTAAAAAATACATTGTGTGTTTCTTCTCCGGAGCGCCTATGCAGTCTATTCTGTCTGTTCTGTTTTTAATCTACCGTAGATAACCCTTTGTAATGTAAAATCAATATTAAATACCAAGTAGGTATGTTCCATATGTATATGCAGGTACACGCTTGCGTGTCTGAACATTTTTTAACAAAAGTCTAATTTTTCCTCTAGAAATACAGTTCCTTTTTTTCACAAATCCCAGGCACACAAATCATGCTAATTTCAAGTACATATTTTTTTCTGCATTGTCGTCATTAAGTTTGATTAAGCATTCTCGAGGTTCTATATGAAAGAATCAAGCCCTTTCATAATGCTGAAGCAGAGAGGATGGAGAGGAGAAAAGAGATATTAAATCTGTGAATGTTCAGAAAATGAGCATTCCAGGAGATGTTAAATGAATACCCAAAGTATGATGACAAGTATTTGTTGAGTGTCTGAATGACAGGTAGTCAAAAATAAAATTGCATGCTAGTTATTGCAACAGCTGGGAGAAACAGACTCATGTCAGATAAATCTTCACCTTCAATATGTTTATCATTAAAAGGATACGTTGAAACTCTCTAATTCACTTTGTACTATTACTACATTAAACAAACAAAATAAAAACCTGCTGCATGGACTGTATGTGAACCACAATTACTTACTATAATCCCTGCTAGTGATCAAGCCCTCTGGGATTTTTATGGCAAATATATCTGTGTTTTCTCTCAACAGGATCTCACCTATTAATGTAACCGTTTCTCAGACGGGAAGGAGTACACTTCCTGGTTTGCACTTCGAGCCAGGAAAGAACAGTCTTGCCTAGGCATTTAACTCTTTCAATTCCACTGAGCAGTTTCTTTTGGGGAGAGAAGGGAACGTTTTGACTTTTCTATCTCCTGCTAAGAAGCGGTATGATATGCGAGGCTGATAGGGACCAATTCTGCAATGCTCTTCAGTGGTGTAAGGTCAGACCCTATTTGATGGCTTGTAGAGGTAAAGGAGCACTGCAGTGGGGACAGGGTAAGTAGCCATAGCTTACAGGCTGCAAATGCAGGGACAGCTGTAATGCCTTCAGAAACGCCGGGGAAGCATTCGCTCCATGTGTAACAAAGAGGCAGTGTGCATTCTGACTAGCCAGTGACTGAGGCAAGGCGGGGGCAAAGCTGTGGCCCTGCTTCCAATTCATCCACATACTTAAGGGATAAGATGCCCAAATTTTTGGGGTGTGCGGTGGAGGTTGGTGGTACTGGGTAAACATCATCAGGTTCCTTTGCAGGCAAGTTGCTAAAGCAGCCAATTATAACTGCCTCAGTATAGGGCTTTCTGTACATCTACTTAGGAGCAGACATAGTTGGGTTTTATGTTTATATTTCTTTTACAATAACACATACACAGAGGTACGTATTTCCCTTTTCTAACATGTCTTAGTGGAAGCTAACCGAATACAGACATTGCAAACTAAATTAATATTCAAAAGCATATTTCTCACAGGAGCATCTCAACTATTTGGCAAAAACACATGGTATAAATGCAAACAAACCGTGCGTGCAGAATCCATGAAAATTATGCACATTACAATGTCATTTTTTACTTGGCCCACAACAAATCAGGAAAAAAACAACCCCGCTATAGATGTGTCATTGTGGTTACAGACATCAACACATGCGGCAGGATACTGGGACATTGCAGTGAAATTGATCTGAAATGGACAACTGCGTTTCACTAACTAGAAATGGGCAACAGAATCAGATAACTGAACAGTGCACATCCCTTTGAAAAATTGGGATTATTTACACAGTACAAATTATCAATGCAGCACTCGGACAAAACTCTAGTTTAAAAATGGCTCAACTGATGTTGTTAACTTGGAAACAGAAGTATAATATTGGCTCACTAAAATCAGAAAAAGTAGAAGACACTAGGAAACGCTGTATTGGTAAGGTTGCTGTGGACAAATAAGTATTTGCCTGAATGATAATTATTGAGAGAATCCCATTTTAAATGATACACTAGAAATGTGCTGTGTACCGATCACCCTTCCTAGCAGCCTTTTTACCATGGCTTACAGTTCTGCAGAATCCAATCCTGCTTCCATTGAAGTGAATGGCAAAATTCCCATTGACTTCACTGGTGCAGGATCAGACCCTAAGCCGGAGGTCACACCTTGGTGTATTTAGGAAACTCTTGAGGTTCTGAAAGCAGTCTTGCAAAGAGACTGAACTGTAACTTAACTTAACATGCCTTCCCAATAGCATCACACAGGATTAAACCCAAAGTTCAGAAGTACTTACTCCCGCTAGGGATCAGGTCCCTATCTGGAATGAAGAGTTTGTATCCATAATGTTTTTCCAGAACATCTGGCAGTATTTCAAGTGCAAACTGCTCCTCTTCGTTATTATCGCAGTCTAAAGCATCTGGATCCACTTTGGTGTAAGAGAGATAGGCATCGTATTCCTTGTTGTCTGTAGAAAAACAAACGCCTATTCACAGTCATCTGTTTGTAAATGGACTAGGCAGAGGTAAACTGTCTTGTGGCCTAGTTCTGAAACCCTTGTGTGTCATAACTCCTATCATGAGGTCAGTGGGGATTTTTCACGTGTAAGTAATTCAGTATCGGTGAAAATATTTTCTTCCTGGTTGTTCAATATCAAGATTAAAAACGACTGCATTATGCCCAAAACTCTTAATGGTGAAACACAAGTGCTCCATATTGCATAATGGAGATTGTGAATTATTCCTGGTTTTATACATAACTTTCAACTCCATATGGCTTTATCAGTGGGTATTCATAAGCCTCGTTTTATCCAACTCTTTTTATAGAAGTTTTAAGAAGACGGCACTCATCTGTCACTTCCTCTTTTCCCTTCGCATGCTGAGCTGGTAAATTATGGCTTTGTATGGTTCAGCAAAAGGTAAACAGGTGCATTGGAGACTGTCCCACACCCGAACAGACTTTGGGAAAGTCCAAATGTTGCAGCTTGGGCTTCTTTGACCTTTATACATAATGAAGGACCAGACTGTGCCTGATTGGTACAGGTGTATGTTGGGCAGGGAGTGGGGGAGGGGGAGGGAAGAAGTGCAGAGCTGCACCACCCCCAGGGAAACTCCAATAGTTATTGTGCCTTAATCAAACCCAGACTTTCCCAGAGTTCACTGCCTGACTCACTTGAGCTCCTCTCTTAGCTGCTGGCCAGCTCTGCTGGTTAATGTGGAGGGATGGCTTGCACCTTTGGTGGCACTTTAAAGAAGCAGTATAATTGGCCTAGCCCTTGAGTTGGCAGAAGGGGCACAACAGAGGGTAAGGTTGTTTGTGCCACTTTCCCCCACCCAGCCTACGCACCCACACAAGAACAAGGTGGGGACAATCGCACCCACATCATACTACAGCATCTTAGCAGTGTAGCCAACTCTTGCAATGTTATTGCGAGTCTCATGATAACTGGATTTTTTCTTCAAGTCCCAGTTCCTGGATTCATGTGATTAGGGGAAAATCTGAGCTTGCATTTAAAAGAAAAAAAGTTCCTAGCCTTTGTGTTTGTGGAAAGAAGCCTGAAAACACGACTTGAGTAAGTACAAAAACCAAAAGGCAAATATAAAGAATCCCCAATTAATTTTTTAAAAAAATCGAATGATTTTTACACTAATTTCAGGGTTTTCTTGGGCCTGATTCATCATTTTTAATGTTTGGGGTTTGTAATGTTGTCTTAGTTAATGGCCATTACCTTTATTATAGCCCTACAGTATTTCAGAAATAGTGGAAAAAATACATATGTGAAAGAGTCAAGTTTTAACAGAAAGGTCTCTAGTGATGGCTACAAGCTGTCATTTCTTACAGAAAATGAAAAATCAAATCGTTAATGTAGTGAAAAGAGAAGTATGTGAAAGTGGGATTATTAAGCACCAATTTTCTGTAAAGAACTGGAAAAGATCTTTACAGCAGAGTCAATGTTCATCAATATTTTGTATTAAAGGAAGATAAATAGTTGATGAGAATGTGATTTATTAATTGCTGCTCTATAAATGATGGCTATTTCCCTAATATTCCTTAGATAAATCTAGTCCACTGTGGTTCATGAGCAAAAGCAGACAAGATGTGGGCATTTATTTACTTAGCTGTGGAATTGATTTCATGCTGAAAACAGGGTGCTCAAGTGAACTATTGGTTCTAAGACAGTCTGGTAAATTTTGATATGATGAGCTAGGTCTTGCGTGATTACCTTCAATGGCTCAGTTAACAGAAACAAATCTGCCTCTAATCACCAGAGCAGCATGGGATCTAGTTTAACTGATATCCTAACATTTCATCAATATCAGCAAACTACTAGAATGGCAAGGATGGCAGCACTGCTGAGTCAGGAAGACCAGCAGCAAAAAGGGTTAAAACCAGACAGGTCTGGAGACTGTTCCAAAATCTGCCACACTAGGCAACAATGGAACCTTCCAGAAGGTGTTCAGAGGACAGCCAATGGGTGATCAGGGAGGCAGATGTCACCACTAACAGTTCAGGCCCTTGCCAAGGTAGTAAAGCCAACCCCGGGGATGGCCACTGTCGTTGGCTCTAAAGTAGAGTGAAATCAAAACAATCAAGCTACGATGTAGATCAGGTTAATACTCAAGGTTAACAAATGTCTGAACATTGTTTCAAATCTAACTTGCTATTGAGAAAAAATATTTTGTCTGGGAAACACAAGTGCATGTGTCTGTGTGTATTTAACACATGTGGACTTCCTGGGTCTGGTTTTCTAAAAAGCTAGGCACGTGTTTTGTATCTGATTTGCACACACAAATTAAATGATTGTGCACCAATGCTCATTTATGCATCCAACTGTGCACTTCAGTGTTGTCAACTCTCATGATCGTATTGTCAGCTTTGTGATATTTGGTGTCTTCCTTAGAGTTCTGGCTCCTGGAGTCAGGTGAATTAGATAAAATCTCTGCTTTAATTTTTTTAAAAAGGCCTCTGAATAGGACCTTTTAATCCTTAGCATTTTTCTTTAAAAATATAGCGGCACACTTTACGGGATGTGAATTTACCCAAGAAAACTTACACAAGATATTTTTTAACTGTAGAATAAAACAAATCTACCTAGTTTCAGCGCCTCCATTTAAAATAAATGAGAAAAAGTTTTAGGACCCAATCTTGTAACTGGCTCTATACAGGAGTACCTTTATGCCTGTCCTCACTCTTAACGCATAGGCAGAAGGAATATTGATACAGAACCTGTGATTTCACCAAGACCTTGTGCCTCTGTGGATAAGACACTAGGCTGTAATAGCTCTAAACAAACTGGAACATCCATTGGAAATACAACCGTGTTTTTCAAATTTAACCACAGGCGCCGACTTTCTGCTTTTCCCGTGGGTGCTCCACCCCCACTCAGCCCGAGGCCCGGCCCCCACTCAGTCCCTTCCCCAAGGCCTTACCGTCGTGCTGCCTCTTCCCATCCCCTCCCCACCTCCTTCCCCAAGGCTCTGTTCCCTTCCCACCTCCTCCTGCCCCCACTCCACCACCTCCCTCAAGCGTGCCCTGCCCTCGCTCCGCCATTTCCTGCCCCTACTCCCCCCCTGCCCCCAGTACCTCCCACTCACTGCCAAACAGAGTCAGTGTCTATGAATTTAACAGGTGCACAAAATGACCTGTGTGCTGAAAGGACATTCTCTAAACCTCCATGAAACAGGGTTGTTTTTTAAATAAAAACCAAGCAAACAAGAAAAACAAAATCACATTAAAAACAGCAATAACTTGATGCTGACAACACAAGTCAACAGAACCCAGGCAATTCAGAGTTGAGGCTGGCACTCTGAGCTGCATCCCCAGCTGGTGTGAAGCATCAAAGTAAATAGCTGATGTGAAATAAAGTCAAAAGAGTTACACCAATTTACACCACCTAAGAACCTGGCCCTTCTTTAGCTGATGAATTGTCAGTCTGAATACTGGCCATTTGGAAGAGATTTGTTTTGTGTCATGATATTTAACCATAGTTTCTAAGTTCTACTAATGCAGACACATTCTTGAAGCCAGCAGATGAAATTCTGGCCCCATTGACTTAACATATCCATCGAGCGTTTAATAGAAAGGATTATTATTTTGACACTGACACAGCTTACTGCCTAAGCAATAGTTCGGGGGAACTGGTTATTTTTGCATAAGAGGAAAAAACCTTCCCCTCTGCTGTTCCAAAATATAGGGTTTTTTTAGGTGTGGGATTTTCAAAAGTGCCTAAGTGATTCAGGTGCAATGACGTTCACTGGACGTATGCTCCCAAGTGGCTTAGAAGCATTTGAAAATGCCACTCTAGCTCTTTAGCAGACACAGAGTACACTAACATGGAACAAATTCTATGGACCTTTGAGTCACATCTGGGTTGCTTCCGTTTTACAGTATCTCAAAACTTTGATTTTGAGGCTAATAATGCAGTGGTGAATCCAACCTCATGTGTCTAGCAGTTAAAGTCCTGATCTAGCAAAACATTTAAGCACATGCGTATTAAGCACGAGTAGTCTCATTGCAGACAAGGTAAGCGCCTACCAGAGATATGAAGGGGGAAAGCATTTAAAAATTATCTGCTTTACACCAAACTTCCAGTCCAGTCAGTCCTCTGAAATAGTCCACATATCTGCATTACATTATTTTCCTGCTCCCAACTAGTGTTTGATGGGGGAGGGGGGGAGGGAGGAGAAATACCATTGACGTATTAGTTAACAGAAATAATTACTGCGTTATTTTGCTGATTTTTTTAAATCGGCAAATATAGTGAAATTGTCCAGCAGGAAATATCCGTAATATGCACCTTACTGGTGACTATTCTTATTGGGTGTGATGCTGGGAAACATGAATGGAATTTAAGAAATCTGAGGATGGGTCAGAACTGATTTTCACCTAACTGAATTCTTCTGAGGAATCTATTCACACTTTGTCCTCAAGAAAAGGATTAGAAAAGAGGCTTCAGAACAATTCCTTTATTGCCTGCTCATTGAAGTCAATAGAAATCCAATTAATTTCAGTGGATTTTGGAATAGGATTTTTGGGCCTTATCCTTCAAGGTGCTAAATACCTTCAATTTCAATTGACTTCAGGCACCTCTTGGCTTCAATTAAAATTAAGGTCCCTCAGCACTGGGCCCAGGATATCTTTTTTGGGCTTATAGTCAGTTTCCCTGAGAGACTACTTACCATCCATAGAGTCATCGCCTCCAAAATTCTGTCTATAGAATAGCATTAACTCTATGTTGTAGCATTTATAGATAGTCACAAGCAAAATAAGCAGGAGAAGGATAGCTCCCAATCCTCCGGCAAGCTCTATTTTGTAGATCAAATCTAGAATAAGCAGAAAAAGACAGACCGGTTATGATCCTTCCAAGCTTTGATTGCACCAATTCAGTGTGCAATCCCATGTACAACTGAGCAGCTTCTCTTTATTGCCATTATAAAATTAAGTCTACCTAATTTTCAGTTCATTAACTATTATTATACTTTACCTATTCACTCCTTCTACTGCCAGTCTACAATTGCCATCTAGAATTCATTTGAGGCTACAGTCATAACTCTTCGACAAGGGAATTATGCAGTGAATTTACACAGAGTATTAATCAGTCTCTAAATAGCTTGCAGAGGATAATTGTATATTCCGTTTTGGCACAATGCGCCCAATACTGTACATGGTCTGTAAGAGTAATTATACTAGATGTACTTCACTGTTATTTAGGAGACTCTAGTTACCCAAAGAAAACCAAACAAAACTTTTATATTTATAAAGTCAGCAGGTGACTTGATTTTATCTGGTAGGCCAAGGCTTTGGCTAACTCATTTGAGAATTGTTCTAGCCCAGTGGTTCTCAAACTGTTTTACTGGTGACCCCTTTCACATAGCAAGTGCGACCCCCCCTTATAAATTAAAAACATGTTTTAATATATTTAACACCATTATAAATGCTGGAAGCAAAGCAGGGTTTGGGGTGGAGGCTGACAGCTCGCAACCCCCCATGTAATAGCCTCGTGACCCCCAAGGGGTCCCGACCCCCAGTTTGAGAACCCCTGTTCTAGCCTCTAGAGTGCACAACATAATGTTCATGTCAAGTGTTAATGGCCAATGGGAAGCCAGGGATGTACATGACACAGCTAAGTGCCTTTTTTTTTTGGTGTGATGGATACTAAAGGCACCAATGTGCATAAGATGGGAGTTCTCAAACTTTTGCTTAGTACGTGCTATATCTTAAAAGGGACTAGAGCTGGCTGAAAACTTTCCGATGGAACAGCTTTCCATTGGAAAATGGTGATTTGATGAAATCAAAAAATTTCACGGGAACATATTGACATTGTCCAAATTTTTGACAAAAAATTATCGAAGTGCTTTGTTTCGACTTTATTGTTTCTTCATCGATAAACTATAACAAATATACTATACTAATCGATAAGACAAAGTCAAAACCAAACAGTGTAACCTTATTGAAATGCAGCTCTTCAATAAGGTCTTTTTGATGTTTGCCAAAAAAAAAATTTCATTTCACAGAAAATTCTGAAATTTCAACTTTTTGTTTCAAATCGAGATGAAAGAATATTTTGAAATATCAGAATTTCCCATGGAATAGAAATTGAAAGTTTTCAACCAGGACTGGTCGGTCAATATCAGCCGGGCACTCCAATTGTGGCCACAGGAACAATCTCGTCTGCCATTTACAACCACAGAACATCCTTGTAAGAATGACAGTGATTGTTTACATGGAAGAGTGACCTCAGGAAAGTACTGGAGAATTTATTGAGATAAAGATTTTCCCTTTTTGGAAAATAAATTAATCATTCTCTTCACTTTTGCTCTTAATTTTACCTTCCTCTGTGCTGTTCAATGGACAAAGCTGAAAGATCCATTATGTTCTATTGTATATTCGGTGTCAAACATAATCCCCTCCCTCTTGCCCCCACCCAGGTTTAACACTGTGGACAATAAGGGCCCATTGATTTATGATAACTAAGATGGATCTATAGAGACCTACAAAGATTTGAGTCCTTCTCTCTGTAAGCCATAACAATTGTTTGTATCATCTCTACAGCCAATCCTAACAGTTCCTGTAGGCCATGGGCAGGATTGTTTTCTGTGGAGAGTCCTTGTCTCTTTAATCATCTCAGTACTCTGGTCTAACAGAGCCCAAATATGCTGGCCTTCAGGAAATGGTATAATGCGAAACTGCCAGGGTTTGGAGCCATACAAGTGGAGCCTGGCGTAAACATTTATCGATTACAGCTGATGTTGCACCAGGAAAATGCTAATATGATGATAATTATATAGGGCACATTTCATAAATGGATCTCAAAGCACTTTACAAAGGCGGTAAGAGTCTTTGTCCCCATTTACAGATGAGGAAACTGAGGCACAGACTGGCGAAGCGACCCCAGGCCAGTGGCCGAGCTGGTAATAGAACCCAGGTCCCCAGAGTTCTGCCGGTCACTGACAAACCAATGACAAAAGTTGGAATGACTTACAATAACTAAATCTGTAGCACTGGAGGTGCCCATTATCAGACTGAAGTGTCCTCTCAGACATAGAATAGACACTAGAACTACTCAGCCTTGCTTTGCAGTTCATCCACCCATAAAACTTACAAGAAGACAAGCTGACACAGCTATCACCAACAGCCCAGATTACTTTACACAAGATGTCAGTGCAGATATTTACCACTTTGACAAATATAGTTCGAAGAGACATAAAGCAAAGAACTAGGATGATACAAGACATAAAGTTTAGAAGCATAAAGTTTACAAAATCTTAGATGCTAAGAAAATGTACCATTATGCCACTGATGTCATCTTCAGGTTGAAAAGAGAACATCAGGTGGGCACATTTTGGGCTTAGTTTCATTTAGCAATGCTTCATGTTACAGTAATTAACCATCAGATGCCCTCAACTTATTTTCAATTTCAGTTTCAATTTCCAATCTGCAAGATCTCTCCAGCAAGAAAGCATAGTCCCACAGAAGTACGAGAAGGAAAAAGTCACTCTGCATTTCTCAGTGCTCGTTTTAAAAGTCCTGCATGATGGAAGTAGCACAACTACCCTTGGGAGACTACTCCATAGTCTGATAGCTCTACACTCATCCAAAATTTTGTCTTTCTTAATTACATTCCATTAGCCCGACTTGTACCTCCCATAGACCACTCTAAATATCCAAGCTATACATGTTTTAATCTTTCCTCATAACTTAGCCCATCTCACTCCCTTATCATTTTTCTTCCTCTCCTCTGAACTCGCCCCAGTTTGTCACTATCTTCCACTAATATGGGGTTGAGAATAGACTAAATGTAAACATACTCAGCCCTGCCTGTGTAGCTGGTTCTATGCCACCCATTCTCCCGCTCCACTTAACTGATATGTAAGAGGTAGGATGTGGGGTGGCCCAGCAGTCCCTTTGGCTGGCTGTTTCAGTGCTTGACTGGCCCAGACTTATTGGGCATGTCTACATTATGTGCTGGATCAACGGGCAACGATTGATCAAGCGGGGATCGATTTATCGCGTCTAGTCTAGATGCAATAAATTGACCGTCGAGCGCTCTCCTGTCGACTCCGTACTCCACCGGAGCAAGAAGTGTAGGTGGAGTCGACGGGGAAACATCAGCTGTCAACTTACCACAGTGAAGACACCGTGGTAAGTAGATCTAAGTACATCGACTTCAGCTACGTTATTCACGTAGCTGAAGTTGCTTAACTTAGATTGATCCCCTCCTGTAGTGTAGACCAGGCTTTCGAGACCTTTTCCCCTGAGCTGCACTGTCTCCAATCTTGGTGTAGTTTGCAGTCTAGCCCATTACTTCTATCAAAACCAAAAAATACATTCAGATATATTTCATTCAGGCCCCAAGTCACAATGAGTAGTTCCTTTCTCCTTGAGTAGTGCCATTAAAGTCAATGGGATAACTTGTGGAGCAAGGCATTGTAGAGTACGAAGCATCTAAGAATCTGGCCCTTATGCTATTATACGAGGGAAAATCAGTAAAGGGAAAAGGTGCAACGAATATTTCTTATTTAAAATAATGAAAAAGATTAATCCATGGTATATGATTTGGAGCACTGAGCTGGTTCAAATGCCAAGAGAACTAGAAATACCCAATAACCAATAGCTCAGTGTAGCTCAGAAGGTTCCTTCATGGCTAATGATGACATCAAATACAAAATTTGTTTCCTTTATGTCTAATGTGAAGTGGACGTTCTTGAAAATAAGTGTTGAGCTGATATTGTTGCAGTGTATCCTTTCATTGAAAAGCCTACTGCGTCTTTCAACTCGGGCCACTGATTGATTCGACTCAGCAGCTCCTGACAAGTTATTTCTGTTATAAGAAGTACATTTTGTAGTGCACTTAGATATTTTTTTGTCAGAAAAGCCATGGACTGTTTTCAAAGTCATCTAAAGGGAATTCTAAGCTATTTCCTTGTTATTTACTGAGGGAAGCTGCTGGTAGGTGAATGAGGACTGCATAACCTATGGACTCCCAAGTAACAGGCATACTCAGGCAGCGTGGGGGCAAAGACTGTGTGGAAAATACATTTTAAAATATATCAAAGCAAATAATAAAGTGTCTTTGAAAGACACCCGTGAAGAAATGTGTGACAGAGAATAGACTGTGGTATTCATGGCTCAGGAACACACCAGTGTCTCTGTTTTCATAAGTGGGACAATCAGACTGGTTTCCATGTAAAGCTGTAGTTGTTTAATTTGTAGGCAAAATTGCCCCTCTCTGGATGACACTGAATCCTAAATAACTAGACAAAACACCATTACTGTGTGGATATAATACCAATGTTTCTTGATGCCTAGGGACAGCTGTGTTTTTTACCCTTTGAAACGAACCTTCCTGTTTGTAAGACAATTAAAACACCGATCCAGCAAAGGACTTAAGCACACGTTTAATCTAAGCACGTGAACAATTTCCTTGGCTTTAGTTTCCTTGTTAAGCATGCTCTTTAAGGGATCAGTGCCTAAATCCAGAAACTCCATACAGCAATTAAAGTTTGACTTTCTTTTTGATCCTTAATATTATAGTTGGAGCATCATGATTAATATTCACAGGTCTATGGGTACTTTACAAGTCCATACATGGAGACAAAGGGCAATTAGGATAGGATAAGAAGTGATTAGTTTAGGGCACAACAAGGAAATTTAGGTTAAATATTAGAACTTTATAAATATGCAGACAATTAGACAATGGGACAAGCAGCCAAAAATCACTCTGGAATTGCCACCAATGGGGATATTCAAGGCAAGACTTGAAATTCAACTACTGGTGGTACTCTAGGGAGAATATGAAATGTATCCGGTCACAGTGCAAGGGGAGATGATAGAATGACTGAAAAGTGGTCCTTTCCAACTTCCAAATTCTGTACTCAGCAATATTTCTTATGTAGCGTCACTAGCATTCTGAAATGCCTCAAATTTTCTTACTATTCCTTGTGTATCCTAAATGTTCAGTAAAGGAAACAAAACACTGCTTTAGAAATCTTTATATGGACACTTCCAGGTTCACATATAAAAATAACTTTACTTTTCTGGTAAATGCATTTACAACCAAGAGTAATAGTAGCAATGCACCCAATTTGTTACCCTTTTGTGAGCTTCCGGTGCCTTCTCAGTTTTGCTTTTCCAATAGATACAATTTCACAGCTTTGGTACCTGTTGGAATGCTTCATTTTAGACTGAATGGGGATCTCCATAAGGCTACGTCTACACCACACATGTTGGGTATGTGTAGCTATACATGGCAGTGAAACGCAAGCTGTGTCCACACTGCTGTGTGTAGCTCTACATGCCAGTGAAAGGTTCTGGCAGAGGGGAGGCAGTGGGGAAAGGCCGACGGAGTCTTTCCCTCTAAATGTCACTCTAATTACAAATGAGAGAGGATGTTGAAATTAACAACATGGGAAGGATTCTAATGAGATACTGTTTACATTCTGTATAAGATAATGGCTTGTTCTAAACCACAGAGTTTCTTAAAAGATAATTTGGATGTTTCTTCTACAACCAACGGTATTAAAAATATCATGGCACTTGCAATATTTGCCATTCTCAGCACAGGGAATCCTGCAAATATCATGGTAAAGTTAAACACAATGGTAATGGATTAACAATCGATTGGATGTAATGGATGACAGAACAAGAAGCAATGGTCTCAAGTTGCAGTGGGGGAGGTCTAGGTTGGATATTAGGAAACACTATTTCACTAGGAGGGTGGTGAAGCACTGAAATGGGTTACTTATGGAGGTGGTGGAATCTCCATCCTTAGAGGTTTTTAAGGCCTGGCTTGACAAAGCCCTGGCTGGGATGATTTAGTTGGGGTTGGTCCTGCTTTGAGCAGGGGGTTGGCCTAGATGACCTCCTGAGGTCCCTTCCAACCCTGATAGTCTATGATTCTATGAACAGTCTACTCTGTAGCAGTGTTTTCCTTCTTGTTACTGTAATAAATCAACATGCACCTATATTGTTTAAAACGCTCAGTTTAATCAGTGAAAATATGATAAAGGAGAAATACGAAAAGAATGAACTTCAATATTAAATAGTGTGTGTTTTCAAATTTGCAGCTGGTTTAAATTGAAATTCTTTCTTTGACTTCATTGGAGCTGGGGCCATATTACTCAATTACTGAGTCCAAATATGAGCTCAGTAGTTCTCTAAAACAGTGTTACACTTAATGGTACACGTATGCCACAATGCGCACGTATTTTAGCTGCAATAAGCACACAGGAAGAAATCCTGGCCCTTTGAAGTCAAGGAGAGTTTTGCCATTGACTACAATGGAGCCAGGATCTCACCCCATTCTCTAAGGCATGGGAGAGTTAAATACCTTTTTTACGCAGAAGGACACTGGCATGCTTACGTCCATTTCGGTTTTCCACGTGGCAGGTGTAGTTAGCCAGGTCTGCCTCCCCAACAGCATCAAAGGTTAATGTTAATTCCACTTCTTTCTCTCCAAGATGTTCTTTGAGGAGTCTGAAAGGAAGAATGACGTCTCCTCTTAGTCTGATGGGGACAGGATGCACATGAAAAGATCACTATATGCCACACAGTGTACAAAAGGCCACCGGTTGCCTTCCACTTACCCAGCATGGAGGAGACCGGAAAGGGCCCCCAATAGGTGGAGGAGAAATGGGAGGATCATGCATAGGGAAAGACAGCTATGAGGCCACAGGGAAGAGTAAGACGAGGCTGTGCTGCAGAAGCAGGGTTGCATACTGTGCTCTGGTGGAAAACCTACGGAAGCAGGTTTGCAGCTCTGCGGAAAGCCAGAGATCGGTAGGATTCTGCTCTGTCCCTTTTATGGGCACACCACATGGAGGATCAAGGATTTGCGGCTCAGTCTTTCACATGTTCTAAGGCACAAAGGGGAAGGGTTTGGGTTCCTGCAATCCTGCAGCAGCATGTAAAAATCAAACCCGACCAATACAAACAAACCCAGATGGGTTTTGATGATGGCACTGTTGCTGATCAGCTGCTTGTAAAAGACATCTAACAAGTTCGCAACAGGAAATGCAGCATCTACATAATCAGCTCTGTAGCCAACGGAGTCACTTCAGCCCTCTTAGTGTATTATTGCATAATGTGTGAGAAAAATGTATCAGGAACTCTGCACAGCACTCACAAATAATGTAGTATTGTAATGACTATAGCAGGGGTCGGCAACCTTTCAGAAGTGGTGTGCCGAGTCTTCATTTATTCACTCTAATTTAAGGTTTCGTGTGCCAGTCATACATTTTAACGTTTTTAGAAGATCTCTTGCTATAAGTCTATAATATATAACTAAACTATTGTTGTATGTAAAGTAAATAAGGTTTTTAAAATGTTTAAGAAGCTTCATTTAAAATTAAATTAAAATGCAGAGCCCCCTGGACTGGTGGCCAGGACCCGGGCAGTGTGAGTGCCACTCAAAATCAGCTCGTGTGCCGCCTTCAGCACGCGTGCCATAGGTTGTCTACCCCTGGACTATAGTATAGTTTTACATGCACCGTGTATAATGCAGTGCAATAAGAATGCAAAGTGCTTACGGGCACATCTTTAATCTAGTTAGATCGGGTACTCGAACCGCGAAGCCAAGGAAACATGGGCTGTAGAAACCTGCCTGGTGACTTAGTTGGATGGCTTGCCCATGCTGCAGTGGCTTCACTGCTTTGCCACCTGAGCTAGCTAGATCAATGCTAGCTCAGGTATGTCTACAGGTGCTGCCATCACAACTCTTAAAATAAATTAAAGTTTCCCAAAGAACAAAATCCCTTCCCCACGGAAGCCCAAAAGAACAGCGACAGTCTTGTTTATCATTTGTATTGCAGAGCTAGCTGGAAAAGCCCCCCCACCCCTGCCAAGGAAAACTTTGACTTTTCATCATAAAAACAAGATCTGAACACTTTTGGCTGAAACAAAAATGTTTGGATTTTGAGGTTTTCAATGAAAAGAATTTTTTTTTTCCACGGAAAGTATCTCACTTAATTCAAAAACAACAACATTGTTTTTCCCCACTGAAAAACAATTTAGATAGACAATTTTCAACCAGGAATAGGTCGGGATGGGGACCCCATTGTGCTCAGTACTAGATTTTCAGAAGAGCTCAGGACCAGATTTTCAAGTGCTTGGCACCCACCCTGGGGCCAGATTGTCTCAAGATCTGGCAGCTCCCATTGCGACATGGCCAGATTTTCAAAAGAACTCAGCACCAAACATGCACTCAGCATGCCGAGCGCTTTGGGAAATCTGGCAACAAATTTTGATGCCCAAATGAGAGTGGACAACTTTTTTAAATCGGATCCAAAGTAAGAGTTTCAGCTGTCACATAGTGGTCTGGAGTTTGTGGGTGGTTAGATCCAGGATTCAGATCCTGACTTTTACAAGGGTCAGGTCCAGAATTTGGATTTGCCCCTTGGTTCTGACCACACCAGTTTGGGTGTGCATGGAGCTTGTGACTCAAATGCCTCTCTAAACCACCTAGTTACAGTATGGTAATCCCTTTCAATGCTGCCTCTAAAACCAAGAAACCTCATGCGATCTGAGACAATCTCTCAGAAACCATACTGAAGGGAACCCCATTTTCTCTAGTTACACTGTATCTGCACAAGTACGTTGAGGATCAGGACTGCCCCCTCCCCCCAGCATATCTTTGAATTTTGGAAAAGTTTGAATTGCTTCTTTATGCACAACTATCTTCAATTCTTGTGTACTTCTGCATTTCCTGGTTCTGGCACAAGCTGCAAGGGCTGAAGTACTGCAAGAAAAGCTGAATTGGCATCATTTCTGGACAGAATGGGAACCTCCAGAGAGAAGATGCTCAGCTTGCAGACTTAAATTCTTGCTTGCATTCCATCTGGCTGAATCATTACACGTCCAATCAATTTAGTCCATTTTCTTTATTAATATTCTTTGTATCTGCTGAGATAGTTACCCCTGGCCTGTCTTTCTTCTCTGTTGGTAAACAATATGCTCCCCATTTTGGTCCACAAATCACGCTGCAGGGAAGGAATAAAACAGCTAACGAAGATATCCGGGGGCATTAATCAGAAGCACTTCATGAGTTTTCAGGGTTTCCCAGGCTTAGATTTATTATAATGAGCAAATCTTACGCACGGTGACAATTATAAAGATAGTTCAAAATTATGATAAAATAAACTATTATTCCAAAGCCATTTAAAATTAAAGTCCCAGCCATTCACCCTACACTTAAATAATGCAGAATCATCTAAAAAGAGGTCTCTTAAAAAAAAAAAGGATTTGCACGTGGACTGAGGATCATTGTCACTTATCCTGTTGCTAATTAAAATGGCAGAGAAATAAACTCA